CCGCCGCCGCCGCTCTCTCCGGCCATTCACTGCAAAATGAAGCCACCAACCCTCTCTCTCCACCTCCACTCTCCCTTCCTTCACAATACCACCAACCTCTCCCTCCCTCGTCCCACTTCATCCACCTCCCGTCTCTCCAATGGCCCTTTCACAGTCCGAATGTCGCTCCGCGAAGACGGCCCCTCCGTAGCGATAGTTGGGGTTACTGGCGCCGTCGGACAAGAATTTCTATCCGTGTTGTCGGACCGTGATTTCCCTTACCGCTCCCTCAAGCTCCTTGCCAGCAAACGTTCCGCCGGAAAATCCCTCACATTTGAAGGCCGCGATCACACCGTTGAAGAATTGACCGAGAATAGCTTCGAAAATGTTGACATCGCGTTGTTTAGTGCAGGTGGAAGTATAAGCAAGAAGTTTGGCCCAATAGCCGTGGAAAAGGGTTCTGTTGTGGTTGATAATAGCTCCGCGTTTCGGATGGATGAGAAAATCCCACTCGTCATCCCAGAAGTGAATCCCGAAGCTATGAAGCATATTAAGCTGAAGAGTGGAAAGGGTGCACTAATAGCAAATCCCAATTGCTCGACCATCATTTGCCTTATGGCTGCCACCCCACTTCATCGCCACGCAAAAGTATATTTACGAGCTAAACTGTTTCTAATTCTATACGTGTAGTGTGTACACGGTTTTGTTCTTCAATTGGTATGTGTGTTTGTGTGCGAATTTGATTATATTATGCTGCTTGTGTGGTCAAATTTGAGTTACATTAATTTCCTTTTGTGCATTGTCAAGAGAATCAGAGATGCCTTTAGAACAGTAGGGAAGATAAACAAATTGATGTTCTTAAGCAAAGGTACTTGAAGTTTCTCTTATGCTGTAAGATCAGTTTTATGTTTTGTTAGCTTCGATCAAATTTTAAATTTATGTGCTACCCGGAAGGCTACGTTGGAGACTAGCTGTTGTAGCTCTATGTCTAAATAGCCTTAGAAGAACCTAGATCCAAATGAACAACATAGCCCTTAACTTTTCTAAGTCGAAGGATCTCTCATTGTAGTTATGCTTCGAGCTAATGGTAAAAAAGGCCTACACGTAAAATATTTGAAGAAAGGATGTCAAACAATGTTAAAATCCTTGTTGTTTATTCTATGAAAAACACGTATCTGAGTTTGTTTTCATTTGGATTATGAAAAAGATGAATTGAAAAATGGATATTTTGATTATGAAAAATTGACTTAAAGAGAAGGCTTCTTATAACAAAAAGTTGAAAGGTCTCGCTATGGTCTTTTTTAAGAAACTTTCCCTTGTATATATGGGGTCAAAATCTGCCAGTGAGGCCGGGATAAGTGTCGTCGATAGGGAAACAAGCTGGATTGGTGCAGTTTTTAATCATTATCTTTTTGGGTTGTGTGATATGCATAAATAAAGTGAAAATTAGTGCAGAAATGTAATTTGGAGTCCTGTGCTTGGTTGTTCCATATATGTCTATTTGAGCTTGCTTTTGAGGATCATGGGGAAATATGGACAGAAAAGGAGAACGAAAATGCAAGGAAGGATAACTGTCCTTACTTTTCTCTCCCAAAGAATTCAAATTGTACAATATAGTAACTTGGAATAGAATTAGATGACAGTAAGCAAGATGCAGTCGAGTAATTTCTCTTTGCTAAGTTTGCGAAGACACGATCATAATGAATTGTGCCAAGTTTTCAAATCTGTCTGTCATAAATAGAAGAAACGGTCTTTTGATGTTTGAACATAGCATAAACGATAAAAGGAGAGAGAAACAGAGATTTTTACTGCATGACTGCGCTTGCTTTCTGCTCTTCATTTTTCCATAGAACTACTTGTTTATTGAAAGGAAATCCCTATTAATTGAGCTGTGTGAGGAGGTGGAAAATGTCAGCACGTTAGTGATATGCCTGCCCCAAAGCAAGAAGGAATATCTTTTAGTCTGACAACCATAGAAAATAAAGATCCATTACACATGACATGCCTAATTGGAGCCACACGTGTGCTTGCGATGAAAACTTGGATAAGAGTGTGATATCTGGCAACAAGTTTCTAGCATTTTCAACTCTGAGAAAGCAAATAGGCAAACAATCTTAAACTGTTCTGCTCAATACAAGCATTTTGCTCAATGTAGATCAACCCTAGTAGTGATGGTTTGAGGTAAGATGGTAGAATAACTGCTTGTTTTAAGAGAAAGTATTTTAACAAAGTTTGTGTCAGCTAGTACTTTGCCATATCTATGGCATAACCAAAACCCTATGACCCATAGGTAAATTATACTTGTCACTGTTGATGGCATCACAAAAATTTGACTAAAAACTTGTCCACTTCTTCCTGCATACACAATATAGCTTTGAAACAACTTTAGTACACGTGCTTTTGATATTGCATCGGTCTCTTTTCCCTTTTTTTCTTCTACCTTGTCCTTTATCCTTTCCACTCACCATCATCAGACCTATAGGAGATTAATTTCCATAATATTTTCTTTGCACTGGATCTCTTTTTTCCTGTGGTTACAGAACATGGCCTATCAAATATCAATTATACGCTCTTTTGTAGATAGGTAATATTTTCTTTTCTCATAATGGAGAGCATTCAGAGACTGACCAACTTTCTATTCCTTTCCAGATTCTCATCATAGTTGTCCCACATAAATCTGAGATATTGTCATGCTCATTTAGTGTCAGTCTTCTCATCTTCAGGCATGTATCCTTTGTATTTTTTTTTTCCATTACATTTTTGCGATCTTGGAGTGTATTTGCTTGCATTCTGGCAATCTCCAAAACATCAAATGCTTTTATCACGTGTTTCCTGGTATCCGTGGCTTGGATTCCAATATTCAAACTGCAGAAACCGGATGCACTGATCCACCCTAGCCATCAAGCCAATAAATGGAAAATGGAAAAAATCATGTCTGAAAAATATGACAAAAATATTACAGTAACAAGCAGCTTTTTTCTGAAATGAGTGGCATTCACAAGTAGTCACAAAATATTGGCTAATATTTGAACTAATTATTACTATGACGTGATTTATTTAAGAGCTATGATGAGCATGATAAGATTGCTATTTTTTTAGTCAAACTCTCTTTAACAGATCTGTATAATTTTAAATAAGAATTATTCTGAGAAAACTCTTCTGTTAAGTCCTCGTTGAAATCTGTTACTGGATCTGTGGAATGTTTTTAAGTAGATTCTGATAATTTCCTCTGTTGCTTTGAAGAACATTTCTGAACAAATTTAAATAAATTCTCTGAAGTATCAACTGTGTCTCCATTGTGAATGCTAGTTTCTGGGCCAAAACATGGAGGGAACTTTTTATGTGGATAATTCTATCGATGAATTATACGTAACTAGTATTTTACACTATTTGAATGTTGTAGGTCATACGCATGGTTGTTAGTACATACCAGGCAGCTAGTGGTGCAGGTGCTGCTGCAATGGAAGAGCTTGAACAGCAGACCCGTGAGGTCATTTTCTTGCTTTAGCAATGTCTTCATCTTATTTTACTGTGATGAATCTATTGAATAAATTTATTTTAATAGGTCCTTGAAGGAAAAGAACCGACCTGTAAAATCTTCAAGCTGCAGGTTTCTCCGATTGCTCCTTTTTGTTTATAATTAAATTGATCGATCATTCAGAACATAACCATTCCCCGTGTCTGATTGGTATTTTTCCTTAAATAAATTTCTTCAATCTTGCAGTATGCCTTTAACCTGTTCTCACATAATGCACCCATTCTTTCAAATGGATACAATGAAGAGGAAATGAAATTACTAAAAGAGACAAGAAAAATATGGGTAAGTATCTTTATTGCATTTTAATGTCCATTCTTCAAGTTTGATGAACTAGGCATTGTTCATTTGAGTTTTTTTAAAGTAGAGTCATGATAAATTTATCTTTGTTACACCCCATTTCTTTATATACCAGAATGACATGAATATCAAAGTGACTGCAACCTGTATAAGAGTACCTGTGATGCGTGCACATGCTGAGAGTGTGAATCTTCAATTTGAGAATCCTCTGGATGAGGTAAATGTTTTGTACTTTGCATTGTTATGTTCTTTATTATGTAGATTTTTTGTGGAACCTGCCATTGTATCTACTTGTTAACTATACATTAGCTTAAAACCTTAAATAATTGAAAATTTTCGTATGTCGGTTTAATATGATTGCAATGAATGTTTACCGTTTTAGGCCATTTATTAATTATTTGATTGCAAGTTTCCCGAGTTAGTTACGAATTCTTTAATTCAATAATGACTATTAAGTGGGGTATCAAGATCAGCTGGAAACTTTTAGTCTTTACTCGTTAGAAATATTGTAGTATGTTGATTGATAGGAAGACCCTGATATGATTGTTCAAATTTATTGAACGAGCTTAGACTCCAGTTTGATCTTGGCCTTGGCTCAAAGTCATAACAAGCCAACCTTGAACTAACCTTGCAAGTTGAGCTCGAGTAAGTTGGTAGTTTTCTGGATTATATATTATTCTTAGCTGACCAACCGTAGCATAAGTTGAGCTTTGATAAAATGACAAATGTTATGTTCGATCTTGATTTGTCAAGTTTGCAAACTGATCTCAAGAGCTATTTTAATGGGGAATGTTGACTAAACCTTCTGGTAACTTTTTGCATTGTTTAGCTATTTGGTCAGGTTGTATTTCAAATTTGAATAATGGATACAAAGTACATTGTAGCAGTGTCTCTTTTTGTTGTTAACCCACACATATTTGTCCAACAGCACCAAACTTATAGTCTTCGATTAGAAAATTTTGGCAACTATCTTAGTTGAACTCTGCTTTGTTAAGTTAGTAAACTTATCTCAAGGGATATATTACTGATCAGTGTTGAATCTGTTGACTGAAGCTTCAAGTAACTTTTTAAAAATTTTAGCTCGATGGTGAAGATGTAATTCAAATTTGAACCATGGATACACTGGAGCATTGCCTTTTGTTGTCGTTAACCCGCACATATTTGCCCCACAGCACCAAACTTATAGCTCTTTGACTAGGAAATGTTGCCCCACTATCTGGTGTGTGCATTGGGGGGTGGGGGGGGTTTGCATTTGCATTTTTTTACCAAAAAAAAAAATTGTTGCAACTGAACATTGAGGAAAGTAAGCGTTGTCATGAGCAAAGACTGCAAAGTTCAGGATTGACTACAGCTAAGTGATTTCTATTAATCAATAATTCATTTATTGGCGAAGTAAGTGATTTTACCAATTACACTTTGAATTCCATTGGAAAAATAATCTAGTACGACTTTCAAAAGCTTTCTTAAAGATGAGTAACCAGGATAATGTATGTGTAGAGGATTCAACAGAAATTGACAACGAAAAAAGTTGTTTCTGCCTTCTGAGAAGGTAAGCATAATGTACTTTGAATCTAGTCAATATCTTTACATAAAGAGTAAATTATTGCGTGTCTATGCATCAAATAGGATCAAAAGAAGCATAAATATTTTGGAGAACAGAACATATAACTCCTTAAAATCTGCAAGTCACTTTTGCATCTAAAGTTTATCCCGTCATTTTCATTTTTATCTGAGACTAGGTTATGGATGCTGGTGCTGCAATTGTGTCTTTTGGAATTAGTTTCCCTTCCTCGGGCTTTTCTTTTTATGTCCTTTTGAATTTCTATTATGAAGTTAATTGGGACAAGTCTTATGTTGTCTGTTTATTTCGATGTACTCCATAGAAAAGGTGGTAAAGTGGAACTTCCATGCTTTTACAGTATGCTTCTCCATTTGCATTGATCTATTAATAATTTGTGCTTCAGGAAAAAAACCAGTTCATTTGCACTAGAGTGCCAAAACAGTCTAGTTGATTATTAGTGATTCTATAGTTGTCACGGCATCTTTGTTGTCTTTTTTTAGTTGAAACCAATTTGCTAAATTCAAATATAGCCAAGTGGGTTGCCACTGTCCTTTTGGATTTAAGAGGTGTTATTGATAGGTTGTTTGGAGACCTCCAAATAACAATTATGGTATTTAGGGTTGACATTGGCTTTAAGGAAGGATTTTCTTAGTCAATCCATGGACGAGGCACTTTCAATTAAGTCTGAACTCTGATCTTATTGCTCTTCTGCTTATCTTGAAATAGAAACAAAGTGTTGTGCCTTTTAAATTCCATAAGCAGTTCATTTGCAGTAGAATGATCTTGTGAGAAATTGGTGAACTTTTTGTAAGCATGACTGTTAGTCTGCCATGACTGGATACAATCTTCTTTTCACGCCATAATTCATCTGCCTAATATCTTTTGGTTTTCTTGAACATCTTTAAAACTTGTGCTGAAGAGAAGTACTTTTGGCTTTCTGGAATTTCAAAGAGAACAGATTCTTAGATTTCACTCCATTGCATAGCCCTATGTTTGTTTCTTGGACTCGGCGTAGTATATGGAAAACCAATCCCACTTGAATTCTTCTTATTTTATCATCAGGGTTCCAGCATGTACCACAAATATGAGATCAGTTGAAGTTATATTGTGCGTCTAAACTGTGTCTTGGTAAAGTTCCTAGATGCTGGCTGATTCCAATCTGATTTGGTTGTTGCTTGGCTCAAGATTTTTCAGATTGTGCATCTAATAGTGGTCATACATTACATCTCCTACAGTTGTTTTTTTCTTCTTGGTTTATGGAGGTGTTAGGTTCTGCATAAAGGTGGAGTATTATGCTTATGGTTTTGATGACATGAAAATTAGGCTTTAAATTTTTCTCCAAATCAGGAGTGGTTTACCATCCACTGCTACTCATTGAAGATTCCCTATCCCTAAGTATTCTCATCAAGCAATGTGTTGCTGAAAATATGTTAATGGTTTAAACTTCATAATATGCCTATGAAGTACAAGTACTGATGGCAAATTTATCAGGACACAGCAAGAGAGATTCTAAGCAATGCACCTGGTTTGGTGGTTATAGATGACCGTGCAGCCAATCACTTCCCCACCCCATTAGCTGTTTCTAACAAAGATGATGTTGCAGTGGGAAGAATTCGACGAGATGTCTCTCAGGACGGGAACTATGGGTAATAATCGAATTAAATGCCAATAGTTTGTGAAAATTCTTTACTTATGTGTGTTGATTTGACTAAATGACTACTTGTCGAGCAGATTGGACATATTTGTTTGTGGTGATCAGATACGCAAAGGAGCAGCTCTTAACGCCGTCCAGATTGCGGAGAAGTTGTTTTAAGTATGTAGCTGAGGCTTACTTTTCAAAATATATATGGTGAGATTTCAAAATATGTAGCTGAGAAATGTTTAAATAGTTTGGTTACTTGAATTTCTGTGCCTTTTTTTTATTGTGTTCTTCTTTGAGAATTTTGCGAAATAAAGAACGTTTCTTTGGTCTGACGATTTTTCTAAATTTATTTTTATTTAAATATCAATGTTACAATGCATGAATTATTGAGCTATACATGTTCCAAAAAAAGTTGGAATATAGATTTAAAAATGATAATTCAATCTTCATGTTTAATTAAAAAAAAAAAAAAAGTAATAGAAAATAAATAAAAATAAAACCACTTAGCCAGTTAGCCTCCATAGTTGCTTTCAATAACGTTGTAATTTTTTAGGGCCCTAGGGGTGGGGAGGATATGCTAATATTTTGATCTTTGAATTGTTGTTAGTCATCGGTCAATTTGGACAAAGAATTAGTCTGTGTTTTCTTGTTGAGCAATGCTACACTGTTAGGGAAAACTTTACAGAATTCATACAGGGGGACAATTGACAGATTATCATTGAAAAGGGGAAAAAATGTCATATAGGTGTTGTCGGCGTAGCACCTCTATGAATTTTGCAAGTTTCTCAAGGGGAGAAACTGTTGTTTGCTTAATTGAAATAAATTATCTTTTTAATATTTTTTAATGTTTAACTAAGATGAGAATAAAATTGTGTTATAAAAAGAAAAGATTGGAGATTGTAACTTTCAAAATAATAGGTTGGCCGTTGATGTCATCTAGATCTTTGAGTTCTTTGAGTTGTCACATATTAGTATAGAAATGGTCAAGGAGACCTAATTTCATACTTGTACGAGACCACATTTCGTTTCTGAATCTTTGGGATTAATTTATGAAAGAACTCGTAATCCATTGATATCAAGTTAGAAGGTTTTTTAATGTACATGTACATAATTATTTATAGATTGGCATACAGATTGATGACATGATATTATATTAAAAAATTTCTTTTGTCCTTTTTCTGTACATTAATCCGTAAATAATTATGTATTATGGCAATACTCTTTCCGAGTTTAAATTTCATTGTCATTCAAATCGGACTCAGCTCACTTCCCTTGTTTGATATTTATTATTTCCAAAATATATTTTTTCTATCTTATTTTTAATCATTCGTTTTTCAATAAAATAATATTATACGCAAATCCAAATTTTTTCTTATTTTTTAATTGCACATTCGTAAATAAAATATTATTCCAAAATGTATTTTGGAGAAAAAAAAGGGGTCAAACAAGCACGGTAAAAATTCGCTCTTATCCGGGCCTTGAAGTTGAAGTAAAATTTTAAGCCCCAGTTTGGGCCATCTTATTATCTCATTAAAATGAAAAATATGATCGTTATTCATCACATTAATATTTAAAATTAAATTTTCTATATTTTGTGTGAACCTCAATAACGACTATATTTTTTACTGGCTCAAACAGGTTAAAAAAATTAATGATTGTGAGAATTCGTCATCAACTAGCTTTTGACTTGATTAAAGTGGAGGGTGCATTATTTCCAAAGTGAAGTCGAATCTATTGGCTGGGAGAACTTTTTTGTTTCATAATATCGTGCATAGTCTTCGTCAAGTCTTCCTTGTTAAGATTACAATTATTAATGATAGTACAACATTGTCCTTTTCTTTTGTTTTCTTTACACCTTTTTTCTTTTTTCAGGGTAAATTTTAATGAAGGTCACCCATCATTAAGAAAAGTCTCAATCAATTCCCGAAACTTCATAATCTTTTCAATCCAGACCACTATACAAGTATACATTAGTTGGTGTTAGTACAATTCACTAAACTCCCTATTTTATTTTGTTAAAAATCAAAACTTCCGTCAGTTTTGATAAAAGTTGATGAAATATATAGTTCAAAAATTAATAAAAATTGAAATACTGTGAAATGTGTAGTTAAAATTAATTATTGAATTTAATTTAACTAAATCAAATAGGGACACGCTAGCCTAGATGTTTAACTCAAGGGGACTACTATGTATGACCTACATGGACTATAAAATTACATGAATATAACATGTCGTTAAAGTTCTTGTATGATAAATCAGCTCATTGAAGAAGGTGCGATTTATCAAGTGACGCTTGACTCGAGCGTTTTGGGAAGGGCTTATTCAAACTACAAAAACATTGATTGAAGCAAATTTTTTCAACTTCTCTAAAAAGTTCTAATTGAGCTTTTATGGGAAATTGTAATTAATATTTAATGAAGCTTTTTTAAAATCGACAAAATACATGTTAATATAAGAAAAACTTTATGACTTCCAACCCAATTAAATAAATATAAAATTTATAGGAAAAACACAATTTTGAATTGAAAACCAACAATCAACGGCTTTTCAGTAAAAATTCTACTACTAAAAGCTTTAATGTTCTAAATTCTACTTATAACAGATATGTCAAATTGACCCTTAAATTGAAATCGTGCATGTCTAACTCTAGTAACTCATTTTGCATCGGTTTTCCATCCCCTTTTAAAATCCACACATACAAGTCCCGTTAGTTTAGTATCTTCAACTAATGGAGTGAATTGAGTTGGAAAACTTTGGAAGTTTTTTGAAATGATCGAGACTTTTTAAAGTTGGGTAACCAAATTGACGCTTTGCTCGACTAGGGTGACCTGCAATGAAATTTACCATCTTTTCTGAAAAATATCGCTCTTTTCATTTCTTGGAGCCCAAGTTCAAAACCAATAAAGTGAATGGTGACAGCTGTAATTTAATTTTAATATATTTTCTACTAATCACTTAAATATTTGATAAAATAACAAATTTTCCTTTTTCTTAAATAAAATTACCTGAATTTTTTCCCTGCAATTGAAATAAATATTTGAAACATTTGATTTATTTTTCTTTCTCTTTTAAGGAATTTTAAGATTCATGATTAGAGCTAAAATTTATGAAATACATATCCCAACTTCCTAAAGTTTTCACTCACTTGATTTATTTACAATTGTTTTCATATTTATTTATTGGCATATATGTAATTAATTCACGAACAGACAATTAGGCATAAATTTATAATTTCCAAAACTTTCATGATTTTAGCATAATCTAAAATTAAGGAAGAAATACATTGATCCATTGAATCATTGCAATTATTGAAGAATAATGGCACTCCATTAGTCATATAAAGATGGGTTTCATTTTGACACTCCCCTCACATGGAGAGTGGGCCCCGACCCGACCCCAACCCATGTGAGGAAAGTGTCAAACTTGACGTACACAAAAGTGTACATCAAGTATTGTCCAATGAGTAGTGTTACAAGTACATGTGGGTGCCATGTGTCCATTATGGACGCTATTATGGCACCCTTGATGTATAAGAAGAATTATCATTGTCGAATTTTCAAAAAAAATATAATTAATATATTGGAATACAAATTTCTCTTACATTTTTCTAATATATCATTAAATTAAATAATAATTTAAATAGAAGTAATTCATATTTGTTTATAACAAAATACATTAAATGGGGATATATTAAAAAGATTAATAATATTTAACATCCCTGGTGTTACAATACTATGGTAGGTGACACTAAATATAATTAAAAGAAATGTACAATTAAATGAATTACATAATTTCACATTTAATTTAATTTAATTTATCAAATAATGCCATAGTATATTAAAAGAAATGTACAATTAAATGAATTACATAACATCACCGTGTTCAAATAACTCTACTCTAATTTTGAAAGATAAAGGAATTGAGCACTACTTCCAATACATTTAGGAGATGATACGTAGTCCCAATGTGACCATATCAACTATTGGTAGCAAAAAATAAAGTTAATAAGATATGCTTTCATTGAGTTGTCACATATTAATATAGAATAGTGAAGGAGACCATAAATTCAGACTCCGAGAGCACGATTCATTTATGATTCTTTTGGTCTTGTCTTTTCCAGACACGAGGAATCAAAGAGATGATAAAATTTAGAAAGTACTTCTATTTTTATTTGAACCGTGCTTCACTGCCAGGTCTATAAAAGGCCTGGCAGTGCAAATGTGAGGTGGAGAGAGTGGGTGTTTAAACATTTGGAGGGTATACCCACCTCACGTGAGAGCTTTTGCTCTACCAAACCTTTTACAGGCCTGGTAGAGCAGGCTAATTCTTTTTATTTTTTTAATTTCATCATCTATCAAATGGGACTTGATTGCATGTCATTGATATGGTAAGGATCCATAGTATTTGAGTTAGACCTTGATATCTAGAAGTATAATTAAAATTACTTATAAATAAATATTAGAAATAATGTAAATAAAGAACTGTTATATGCTTAAAACTTGTTTGCTTAAAAGCTAAGTAAATAAAATCGTACGATGTGATTGAGAGAAATTATTATCAACTACCTTTTGACTTCAATAATGTCGCTAGTGTAATATTTCCAAAGTGGAGTGGAGCCTATTGGCTGGGAAAGAATAGCCTTTTGTAGGCTTTAACTTTTTTTTTGTTTCATGAATTTGCGCATAGACTTTGTCAAGTCCTCCTAGAATAAGATAACATATTAGTACAACATTATCCATTTTTTTGTAGGAGACCTTCATTACAATTAAAATGTAGTATAACAAACAAATGGAAATGTTCTCCTGTCCACGATGGATAGAATAAGACTGTCCATCTGCTGATGTGACAGAAGAACTCAACGTTGAGTTCTCTCCGAGTGAACATTATAAAACTTCCCACTGTGGACAGGAGAACAACTCTGAACAAACAAAATCCATGATGTGAATATATTCCCAAAAATTATTTAAAGAAGAATTAAATCCAACAAAAATTAGAAACACTTCCATAACTCAAAGGCCAATACAGATTTCCAGTCAATGATATAATTATTTTACAAACTATAAATTCGAAAATTCAGTTCTTTCATTTTTGGAAGATAAAATTCAATTATTTTCTGTCTAAAGACAAAGGTGAATGTTATAAAATGACATTAAAAGTTTTAGAAAACTTCTGTTTTAGATAATCCGATCGAATGGAGGTAACCTTTAAATTTTTTAATAGAGATGATAATGGAGCAAGATTCTACGAGGTCAATGATTTCTCGAGATGTGAAGCGAAATTAAAATTATTATATTTGATGTCCAATTAAAAATAATGAAAAATTGAGACATGGTCGAAATATCCTATCATCCTAAACTAGAGTGATATGTAGAATATTTATTTGTTGCGTCATTAAAATACTGTTATAAATTGTAAGTTTATTAATGAATGACAATTGTATCATTGCAATCCGAGAAATTATTATCATTGTATCTATAATCCTATTCTATAAATATGAGACTTTGGCTCTCATTATAATACACATAAGACTTTTATTCTCTCTTCTCTGTTTTCTCTTTTCATGACACGTTATCAACATGAAAACTTAATTATTCAAAGTTTAAAAGAGGTAGTGATTTTTTTTTTTAAACATAATCATCTACCATGTGTACCAAAACTAATTTGGTGACATGTGAATTTTTTTTTTTAATGCAGATAACACAAAATTTATGTGTAGTTTTTTGTATCTACCGCGGTCGTAATTTATTTATTTTCATCCGTTTGTGTATATTAATGCATAGGTATATAAAAGGCATATGTATCAATTTGTGTGCGTTAATTTGTGTCAATCATCACGTTTATAATTATTATGTTTTGCCACCTTCAATTTATCTCAATTGTTTGCCTGTAATCATCAGCTTGCTATCTTCAATTTGTACCGCCCGTATATTTTTTGTTGAAATCAATTCATGTTCGAAATTTTTTTTTCCTAATACATGTTTAATAATTAACAGTTGTATACAAATTCATATCTTGTCTGTATAGTAATTAGTATTTTTAATCTAATTAAGTTATTTTTAGATGTTTTTTCTTCATAGACTTTAAATTGATAATATATGATGTTGTTGATCGTGAAATAGCACAATTTTAAAATTAATATTCTTGAAAAATATTACTTGCTCTTAAAGAGAATAAATTATAATTTTCAATATTTCAGAATGATGTTGATATATTATTGTTGAAGAAGTAATAGTAACATATAACGTGCTCTCGAAGTATTACACGTTTTAAAAAATATGTTATTTTAAATTAGCGTTTATTTTTTGAGGAAAACACATAACTTATATCGTATTGATGTTGACTACTTGATATTTAATCATACTTTTCGAAATTATTTGTATTTCTTTTTGCTTTAGTGTGTAGTTAATCAATGACAGACATAAGAAAACTCGAGTTTGCTGCACTTACATATCTGACAAAAATTATTTGTCATGGGTACTCGATTTTGATATCTATCTTGTCTCAGAAGGTTTGGGAGATACAATAAAAGAAGAAAACAAATAATCTTTGCAGGATCGTGCAAAAGTACTCATCTTCTTTCATCATCATCATCATCTTCACAATGGATTGAAAATTGAATATCTCACTACTGAGAAAGATCCACAAGTTTTTTGAAAAAAATAAACTGAAAGATTTGACCATCAGAGGACTACCTTCCCCCCAAAAAGCCTGCTATGAGTGGATGCACCTTCGTTTGCAAGATTTCAAAACTGTTAGTGAGTACAATTCCAACTATTCAAAATATGTTCAAAATTGAACTTTTGTGGAGAAAAAAATACCGATGAAGATATGTTTGAGAAAACTTTTTCCACTATTAACGACTCGAATGTGCTCCTGTAATAGCAATATCGTTAGTGCGGTTTCAAAATGTACTCAGAACTCATATCTTGCCTACTTGTGACTGAACAAAATAATGAACTGTTAATGAAAAATCTTGAGTTACGTCCAACTGGTTCGTACCATTGCCTGAAATAAATGATATTGCATTGCTTGAAGCAAATACAATATCAAGACAAGGACGTGTAGACAGATTTGAACATGGACACGGATGTACACGTGCATGTGGAATAAATCATGGATGAAATAATCAACAAAACTATCAGCAATAAGACAATGATTTCAAAAGACATAAAACAAATGAAAGTAGCACATCCAAAAATGAGCATGAAGAAAGTTGTTTTAGTTGTGGAATAAAAATGCATTGGACACATACCTGTCGTACAACAAATTACATTGTGGATATCGACCAAAAATCAATTAAGGAAAATGGAAAAGTGCAGTGATGGCAATGCACCGAGCCGAGCCGGCTCGGCCCTTGCCCCCACGAGCTCGGCTCGTGTAAGCTTGTGGCTCGTAACCCACAAGTTAAGCTCGACTCATGCCCGAGCTCGCCCAAAATGAGCCGAGCTTAAAAATGTGCAAAGATCTTTATATGGATTGAAAAAATGTGGTATAATCGCCTATGCGAATATTTGTTGAAAAAAAGCTATAAAAATAACGATGTATGTCCACGTGTTTTTATAAAGAAAACAAATATTGGATTTACAACTGCAAATTATTTGAAAAATGAATTTGAGATGAAAGATTTGGAAAAAATCAAATTCTAATTGTGACAGATTATGTTGATAACTTAAATTTAATTGGAATTTCTAAAGAGTTCAACTAAACTGCAGATTATTTGAAAATGAATTTACGTTGAAAGATTTGGAAAAAATCAAATTCTGTCTCGGATTGTAGATTGAACATTTCTTAGAAGGATTATTTGTTCATTAATTTACATATATAGAAAAAGTCTTAAAACGCTTTTATATAGATAATGCACATTCATTGACATCACATATGGTTGTTTGATCACTTGATGTGAAAAATGATCATTTTCGTCCACTCGAAGATGGAGGAAATGTTTTGGGTCCTGAAGTACGACATCTTAATGCGATTGAAGTATTAACTTATCTTGCAAAATGTATTGGACTCGACATAGTTTTTTCCGTAAATCTCTTTACAAGATATTGTTCTACACCGATACAAAAACATTGAAATGGTGTTAAACATATTTTNCACAAACACAAAGATATTTGAATTGTGTTAAACATATTTTTCGTTACCTAAAGGGTACTGTTGATTAGGGATTACTTTATTCTCAGAAGTTGTGATTTGCTTTAGTGGGATATGCAGATACATGTTATCTCTCTGACCCACATAAAGTTAAATCACAAACACGATACGTATTTATACGTGGAAGAACAATTATATCATGGAGATCTGTGAAGCAATTATTCACAGCAATATTTTCAAACTATTCTAAAATTATTGCAATCCATGAAGCAGAACGAAAATGTGTATGATTAACGAACATGACCATCTTATCCAAGCATCATGCGTATTAATTTTAACAAAAGATAGTCCAACAATTTTGTATGAAGACAATGCTGCTTCTATTGCATAATTCAAATGATGTTATATCAATAGTGACAAGACAAAACATATTTCTCAAAAATTCTTTCATACACATGAGCTTAAGAAGAATGACGATATCGATATTCAACAAATTCTCTCAAGTGATAATGTGACTGGTTTATTTACAAAGCACCGCCAACATCTACATTCAAGAAATTGGTTCACAAGATTGGAATGCGTCGACTATAAAATTTTCAGTGATCAACATCAAGGAGAGTAGTTGTACTCACTTTTCCTTTGCTTAAATTTTTTCCGACTAGGTTTCCTAGTAATGTTTTAATGAGGTAGCATTTATCTTTAATATTTCAAAATAAATGTACTTTTTTTCCTTTCGTTTGATTTTTTGTCCAATTGATTTTTTATCAAACAAGATTTTAACGAGATATATATTTCGTAATGTATCATTCAAATGGGAGTATTGTAAATAGTAATTTTATTAGTGAATGACAATTGTACCTCTACCGTTCTAAAAATTATTATCATTGTATTCCTAATATTGTCATATAAATATAGAGTTTTTGTTTTCATTATAGTATATATAAATTATTGACTTTTGTTTTCTCTTTTTACTATAAATACTATATTTTTAAAATGACAAACGTGAAAAAAATTGAAAGCAACTATAATTGAACCAAAGAAAAAGCAATCTTCTGTTTTAGAGAGGGGGGAAAAAAAGAAGACTTTTATTGACTCCCTCACTCCTTCCTCCATCTTCAGCTAGTCCCCTGATAAAGTGAAAGAAGCATCATAAAGTTTAGTCCCGTGATCATGATGGTGATGGTGAACTAGTTCTCAGTTCTAACAAGTCTGTTCATTTTCTTGGTAAGATTCTGTCACTTTCACACCCGAGTTACAGTCAAATCCCTTTTTTTTGATCAGTTGTATTGACACGTTAATGCAGGTTGATGAGTTTCAAGAAAAAAATTATAAATTGTTTCTTGGGTTTTCTTAGTGATTTTACTGTACGTTTTATCGTGTTTAACGTTCTGGGTTGGGTTGTATTGTGTTGAGGGAAAGGACAGAGAAGTTCAAGATTTATTGTGATCTGTGTGATTTTTCTGTACTGGGAAAACAATTGTTTTAAAAACTAAAAAGATGGGCTTTCTCTTGAATTCCAATATTTGAAGTTTTTAATTTTATTTTTCCTTTTCATGTGGCTAGATGAATTTTGAACTAATAACAAGTTAAATATTTTAACTACTCGGAAAAGCCAAAAATATCAACTGGGATTTTAATGGATTTCGTGAATTTGAATAGATTTTCACGGAATTCATAAGAATCTAGTTAAAAATGGTGAAATTTCAGAAGAGTTTGTTATATGTAGCTTTAAACCAGAAATCCATCCAAATCTCTTTATTAATAAAATCCTTATAAATTCAAGAGTTATTAGAGAGGCCTAAATTTTTATGATCTTTAATAGAATTCAATAAAATCTCAATTGTGACACGTGAACTTATAAGGATTTTTAAAATTCATTATAAATTCAGTTGATGCACCCCCTAAATAACTCCTAAAGTTCCTAAAGTAAGCACATTGATAAAATTAATCATAGTAGTAGGACTGTTCTAGCGTGAACGATACCGTACTTTCAAAGCCCCCCGGCTTCAATGGAATTTCCTTAGTTTAGAGAAGAGAATGGGATTAAATTCAAATTTGTTGGGAAATGATTTTTGTAACCTCATGGGGTTTTAAGTGTTACCAAACACGGGAGTGTAAAAGATTACCTGCCAGCTAATTCTTTAAACTAGATGATTCGGCAATCAAAACTATTCATGACAATGTTTTGGAAGTACATGTAATAGTCTTGAAGGTTGATTTGACCGTGTGTTTGTTGTTTTGATATGTGCACCTTGTGCATATTTCAATATGTAATGTGTTGAGGGAAGGGGGACTCTTTGTTGCAATAGTTTTTCATGTGAAATGTGCTACTATAAGATTGGTAAATGCCCCGAAAATCACAGCCATTGAATTGTTTACCTTTTATAAGATCAAATGGTAGGATGTAGAAAATATGAAACATATAAAACAGGACAAGATGAGAAGAAAACTTATCGATAAATGGTATCTGTGTTAAATAGCTAACCTTGTCATTCAAAAACTTGTGTACTCGGAAGATGTAATGCTATCTTCCTACTAATTTGTAATAACCTCGATTTCATGGTTAACTTTCAATACTTCTTCAACGTTTATCATCTTGTGTAGACATCTGAGGATCTTTATATTGTTTTCGAGGAATCAATGATAAACTTCCAAAGTTTATTTGTGTCAACTCGTTTCATGGATAATCAGTTTATTATATTGTTATGTGCTAATAATGTCTACGCTCTTATTCCAGATTGTTTTTGGACTTTGGATTTTTATAAGAATAGAAAGAAGATCTATGTCCTCCCAGTCAATTGGAAAAGGGATCCAAAATTAATTACTAACCGCTATGGATGTGAAATGCTTCATTGCTTCATGTTCATCTAGCTCAGAATTTAAATCCCTCTTAATTTTTTTTACTTGCTCATGCTTCTATTGAACTGTTGGATTTTAATTTTTTTTTTATTTGGAAAAGTTGAGAGGGAAGTGTTAATTAGGAAGTGTAAATCAGTATTTTATCGGAGTTCCATTGAAACCAAAGTTCCTGGAGACAGCATCATCTAGGATTTCTAGATTTCCTCTTTTTATAAAACTTCACAGTTTCTCGTTTTCTTTAGTTTCTTTGTTATTTTATTATATCTCTTTTTTTTTGAAGAAGTTGGGAAAAAAATGATACTACATTTCCTTTCCACGGACCACAAAGTATATGAAAGATTGTCATTTTCATTGTTGTGTGGGGTTCAGTAAGTAGGCGTCTCTCTCCCTCGTCCCTCCCCCTCCCCCTCTCTCTTCCTCCATTCTTCTTTCCTCAAGGATCCTTCAACGCTGTGGTTTATAAATTGCATTGATAATTATTATTTCGTGACTGAACTGCAGCTACCATTCATCCATATGGGAAAGACAATTCGGGTGTTTGGCTTCCCTTATCTTGTTGCTGCAGAAGCTGTCAAGACATTCTTGGAGCTACATACGGGCAGAGGAAATGTAGTTGCCTTAGAAGTAAAGCAGTCCAAAGGAGGGCGAAGAGCATTTGCCCGAGTACAATTTAAGAATAGCATACATGGCGATAAAATTATTTATTTGGCAGAAAAAGGCCTGTATTATGGTAGTTCTTATTTGAAGGCTTGGGAAATGGATATTGACATCATGCCAAATCCAAGAACGTACCTGCATGAAATGGAATGTGTAACTTTAAATTTTGGATGTCAAATATCGGCAGAGAAGTTTTCAGTGCTGTGGAAAAACACAGATGTTTCCGTTAAATTTGGAACTGGTATGAAGAAAATGTACTTCCTTTTCTGCTTTAACTCTGTTGAATACAAGCTTCAGCTCTCGTACGAGAATATATGGCAGATTGTGCTATATTGTCCACGAGGTCAAACTGCGAAGCTTCTCCTTATACAGGTTTGTTTTTTAAGTTTTGTTAAAAAGGAAAAAAAAAGCCATTTATACAAGGTATCTTATCCGGTCAAATCTCCATCCTCTGCCACATTATGTTATACAGTTGGTATTGCACATGGCATCGTCTACACTAAAAGATTAAAGAATGTAATCCACATTCATCATTATATAGTCCACCGACTATCGAATCTAATTTTAGACTAAATTCTTTATACGCTCTAATACAATGCACCAAATGCAATCATGGAGTATAATTGAATTAACTATTACTTCTAAATGATGATGTTGTCTTTCTTTCTTTTCTGTTAGGAATGTTTGCTCTTTCTGTTTGTAGTTTCAGGCACTAGCCATGGCAGAACACAGTGAGTTTGTGCATATAAAAGAATTATTATTTATTAGGCTGGTAACATAAATTGTTAATAAAGGTAACTTCTTGTAATAGTTTTGTGAATTTAATATCATCTTTCTTAGACTCTACTGTTTCTTTGTTCCCTGAAACACACACCCTGATCTGTGAATCCTCCCTTAAAATCATGAGTCTGAACTCAGTTCGATACTTTCGAGTTTTTAGTATATTTTTGCATGTAGAAAGATCCAACATCACTAAGTGAAGATAAATCCTGGCCTGACACCTGAATTTTACTCCTCTGAGCAAGCAGAGAAGTCAGTCCTCTATTTGGTGGTCACAGCATACCATTTTATGGCTATATTCTCTGAATCCTGAGGAATTTTCGCTTTTGTATTTTTATAATATAATTTTGGGGTTACCACACTACCAGCTGACAAAAGGCTGTATTGTGGTATCATAATTCATCTTCTCATACTCTTTGAACCAGAATGTTCTTATTGTACTTTTATGAAGCTGCTACAATTATGTGTTCTCATTATCTATCTGTAAGATAGAAATGATTGCTGATGAATACTTTTTCTCTTTTGTTGTGTAGTTATTTGGTGCTCCCCGTATCTACAAGAAGATTAATGAATCTGTTTACAGCTATTTTAAGGAAACTCCGGATGATCAGTGGATTCGAACAACAGATTTCACTCAATCGTGTATTGGACAATCTTCTGGTGTGTGTCTGCAGCTCCCGTGCGGCATGAAGCTTCCAAATTTCCCAGATAATTTTGCTTACTACAAAGAAAGTGAGAGTCAATTCAGTTTGGTGACTGGTTCTCCATTTTGTCAAAATTCATCCCTAGTACCCATTCTGCGTCCCCCTGGAGGAATTGAATTGCCGTGTAGTATATTGTTCAAGATTTGCAGTTTGGTACAAACTGGATGTCTTCCAGGACCAATCCTAGATGCCCATTTTTTTAGGTTGGTTGATCCACGAAGAATAGAGATTGGGTATATAGAGTCTGCTCTAGAGACACTTTACATTTTGAAGGAATGCTGCTATAATCCTGTGAGCTGGCTGATGGAGCAGTATGACAAATACCGCAAGATGAGACGGCCTCCAAAATCACCTGCCATTAGTTTAGATGATGGACTGGTATACGTACGCAGGGTTCAAGTGACACCCAGCAAAGTGTATTTCTCTGGTCCAGAAGTGAATGTGTCAAACCGTGTGTTACGACATTATAGAAAAGATATTGATAATTTTCTTCGTGTTTCTTTCATCGATGAAGAGTGGGAGAAAATGTATTCTGCTGATTTATCCCCGAAGGTAGCTTCTGGAAATGAGAATAGACGAACAGAGATTTTTGAAAGGATATTATCAACGCTTAAAAATGGCATTGTTATTGGTGAAAAGAAATTTGACTTTCTTGCATTTTCCTCAAGTCAGTTGCGGGATAATTCTGTTTGGATGTTTGCTTCAACGGCTAATGATAATGCTGATAAAATCCGTGGGTGGATGGGCGATTTTCGTTCCATAAGAAATGTGGCAAAATATGCTGCCAGACTTGGACAATCTTTTGGATCCTCAACGGAAACTTTGAGTGTTGGCAAGGATGAGATTGAATATATTCCTGACATAGAGGTAGTAAGAGGGGGAACCAAGTATGTTTTTTCTGATGGAATTGGGAAGATATCTGGTGATTTTGCTCGGAGGGTTGCCATAAAGTGTGGACTAAAAAATTCTTTTCCTTCTGCCTTTCAGATCAGGTATGGTGGCTACAAAGGTGTTGTGGCTGTTGATCCCACTTCACGAAGGAAGTTGTCTTTGAGACCGAGCATGTTGAAGTATGAGTCACAAAACACAAAATTAGATGTTCTGGCATGTAGTAAATATCAACCTTGTTTTCTGAATCGCCAAATCATCTCTCTTTTGTCCACTCTTGGAGTCGAGGATCATGTCTTTGAGAAGAAGCAAAGAGAAGCAGTTGCTCAACTGGATACTATTTTAGTTGATCCATCGAGGGCAGAAGAGGCGCTGGATTTGATGTCTCCTGGAGAAAATACAAACATTCTCAAGGAAATGCTAAGGTGTGGCTATCAACCTGATGGTGAACCATTTCTCTCAATGATGCTACAAGCTTTTCGCGCATCGAAGTTACTGGACTTGCGAATGAAATCAAGAATATTTGTTCCACAAGCTAGACAAATGATGGGATGCCTAGATGAAACTGGAAGTTTAGAATATGGCCAGGTGTTCGTTCAGTTTTCTAGTGCTGGGCGTAGACGATTCTATGAGGATTTCAATAAATTCTATGACAATACGTCAGGTGATTATAATTTCATTGTTAAGGGAATGGTTGCTGTTGCTAAAAATCCGTGCTTGCACCCGGGTGATGTGCGTAAATTAGTGGCGGTTGATGTGCCAGCGTTGTACCACATGGTGGACTGTGTGGTTTTCCCTCAGAAAGGAAGAAGGTAAATTTAACTTCTTGAATGCTTCTAATCTAATTGTATCTGCTAGAACTTTATGAGGGCTTATGCATTCAGGTAAGTATCGTTTGTGTCAACCGGGCAATAATGGGTCAAGAATTACTCTGAATCTGTAGAACAAATGATGCAGCATTGTCCCAATGTGGATTTCTCAGTACTAGGCAATTGTGCTATTCTGAAATAGCATTTTCAGAATTACAAATATATCATATTTTTCTTAAAAATGTCCTTTGTCATTGCATTTGCGATCATGCTTAATAAGTCCACTAGCCTTTCTATCACTTTCATGTCCAATAAATTATCATTTCTAAAGATGCTAGTTGGTAAATTTAGTAACAGTTTATTAAGATCAGAATACAATTTTCGAGGATTTATTTTTCAAGAATTTTCACCCTGCTATCATGTTCCTATTATCTCTTATTTAATTAAATGATATTTTCACTGTGCATTATATTCTGTTTAATTATATTCCATAAGGTTTTGGTTGTCCCAATTACAGACCTCACCCAAATGAATGTTCCGGAAGTGATTTGGATGGAGACATTTACTTTGTTTGTTGGGACCGTGACTTGATTCCACCAAGGCAATGCTCGCCTATGGATTATACCCCAGCTCCAAGCACACAACAAGATCATGATGTGACAATCGAGGTACTGGCATATTAATGTGGTTCTGTGTTTTAGTAACATTTAAAGTCATGCTGTTTCTATTTTTTGTTATTCATAATGATCGAATGCTGAGGACCATTCTCAGAGAGACTAAAATGTGACGAAAGAACTGCTAATATCCTCATCAAATCATTGTCAAATGTTACTTACTGTTAATGTGATATCTATAAACCTCATATCTTGTTCCCACTTTTGCGGTTATGTTATTGGTATGATCTCTTCATTGTGCTATTTTTTATGCCATTTGTTGGGTCTTTGTTTGCCAAGTATGGAGAATATTGCTAAAAGGCCGTTCTTACTGGTGTTCACTTTCTATGTTCTCCGTCTCCTATCATGGTGTAAAAGCATTGACCCGTTCCTATATGAGGCTTAGCACATGGAACTTAAATAAATAAAAAATAGTAGCGAGAACTGATTAAATTTTGGTAACTTTTCATTTGTCTGTTCGATTATCTGATGGCATATTATGTTGCTGTCGATAGTCTTGGAAGTTATTTATGAATACTTGGAAACCCAATTTACTTTTATTGATGTCTGGAAGTGTCGAGAAAACTGTTTGTTTAATGAAACTTTTTTGAGTAATATAGCTATCTATTATTTGATTGATGTTATTTTTCCATTGGATTGAAACTCTTACAGAACCACATAGTCGTGCAATGTCTTGAAAGCTGTAGAACAGCATGTTCAAGTCAAGCGGAAATGCAATTCTAAGATGAAGATGCGATAAAAAGAGGAATCAAGAATTAGAAATAAAAGTTCTAGACAAAATAATGGCTACATCGTTAAATAAGTTGGAGCAAATGAACATTCTTCTAGCTCTCACATGATTTGAAACTCTTCATTTCGTTCTCACCACACAGTATTATTGAAAATTAATGTTTGCTAATCTGATGATCTAAGTGTTTTCTACAGTACTTAGCATGCAGTTTTTATTTTACCTGTGGTACAGGAAGTGGAGGAGTACTTCACCAACTACATTGTGAACGACAGTTTAGGAATCATCGCCAATGCCCACACAGTCTTTGCCGATAAAGAACCATATAAGGCGATGAGTGAACATTGTATAGAGTTGGCAAAGCTGTTCTCCATTGCTGTTGACTTCCCAAAAACTGGGGTTCCTGCAGTAATACCACCTCATTTACGAGTGAAAGAATATCCAGATTTCATGGAAAAGCCCGACAAGACAACCTACGAATCGAAACGTGTGATAGGAAAGCTTTTTAGGGATGTGAAAGACATTGCCCCCCACACGGCTTCTATTAAATCTTTTACCCGTGAAGTGGCTAGGAAGTCATATGATCACGATATGGAAGTAGATGGATTTGAAGATTACATTGACGAAGCAATGTATTGCAAAACTGAGTATGATTACAAGTTGGGTAATCTGATGGATTACTACGGGATAAAAACTGAGGCTGAAATACTGAGTGGTGGCATTATGAAAATGTCAAAGACTTTTGATCGAAGACGAGATGCAGATGCCGTTGGTGCAGCTGTGAGGTCATTGAGGAGCGAAGCTCGGAAAATGTTCAAGAAAGGAAGTGAATTGGACGATATGGATGCAAAAGCATCAGCTTGGTATCATGTCACATATCATCCTAGCTACTGGGGTGTCTACAATGAGGGACTGAATCGGGATCATTATATTAGTTTCCCGTGGTGTGTATACGACAAGTTGGTCCAGATCAAGAAGGACAAGTCCAGCCTGAGAAGGTCCCTTCAAATGTCTTCGCTTGAAAGGAACTTCAGTCGAGGTTTGAGTTTCACCTGAAAAAATCATCAGTTGATGTAATATAATATGCCTCGAGCATTTGATTTTAACTATAAACCGTTGTTTTGTATCTAATTGCGGCTAGTACAGCTGCAAAAAACGAGCCAGACGTGCTTGGTGTGAACTAGTGTTTTGTGTTGATATATAAAGATGCTTGCATCTACTGTGCTTACATTACTGGCCTCAATTACTTGATATTCGTAGAATTAAAGAGCATGTGAATGTGTTCTTCATTTCTTCCGCCGTATCATTACTGTTTATAAATTTGAAAAATACTAACAATAAATTCCACTAAAGGCATATAGAGTCGTAACAATGTTATGTTACAATGCCAAATAAAAGAATTTTGGGAATCATACTCGATGCAAAATAATCAAACTAATATTTAATTTATAGCGCATAGGAGGGGGCTATATTGGATAAAGGGTTTTGCCAAACGTCCAAGGGTCTGCCTGCACAAACGCCCACCATTAGGGGGCGCATGTGGAGTGGCCCTGTCACTCTAGCAAAACCACCGTTGGATAAAAATCTCAAAACTACTATCATGGCTTCCTTCGTTAGTTTGTTCCTTTGTGCAAAACTCTCAAGTAGTCAATTAAATCTCAAATAACTGCCAATTAAGATCACATTCTTATCTTGCATAAATCAATTATTAACTATTTCCATATTAAAAAAAATCTTGAAATAAGACCTGAATTCAGAATATTTTCTCAAACTTCGATATTTTTGAAAATGTAACCTTAAAGTATAGTAGTTATGATTTTTTCCCTTTAATTAATATTGTAAAAGTAGTTATCATGCCTTATGATCCGATCAAAACATTAAAATAGAGTAAGTTCGTGGATCCCAAGCTAGTTTTTGAAATAACGTCACCATTCCATTATGACCCGATATCTAATACCGTGCATTTACCCATTAAAATTATATATTTGTGCATTTCATGCTTTAATACGAGATCGAAGAGTAAATGAATATGATTAGGGTAAAGATATTTGTACATAATTTAATGTACTGAATTGTTTACCCCCTTTCATATGCATGCAGGCCCCGTGTGAATAAAAAAAATCTCAAGATATTGTCTCCACCCCCATATTGTGAGTAGTCGGTAAGAGATTACGTAAAAAAATTCGGTACATGTATGATCCATATGATTATAGCCAGACGAAAAGGTAAATGCTAAACTATATACTCCTAAAAGGCAACAAAAAATACTACTATCAGCCCTTTGAAGTCTTCAATTTTCTAAAAACAACCATATTTCTACAATAAAATCAATTTCTAGCTTATTTGTCTACTCCATTTAGAAAGAATTGAATTTTCAAACCTTTAATTTGTGACTTCAACTCCCATTCCAAATGATTGATTCTAATCAATGTACGGTAGGAGCAAAACTCATAAATTTTAATTATTGAGGTTCTGCAATAGCTAATAAAAGAAACCAAACAAAAAAAGAATAAAGGATATGAGATTCTTACTAGACGAAAATTTCCTATTTACAGAATACATAGCATACATACGGGAGAGTGTCCCTGAACTCAGTGGACTAATCTGTTACAACATTTCAACTCGAACATCTCTTCTGCTGAGTCGATTTTCTGGCAACATCTTCCCTAATTCAATGTCTTCTTTATCATGAACATATGTTCAATAAGGAGAATTTTACGCGCAGGCATACTTTTCCCTTATCCAAGTCTAATTTTGCTCCGGTTACTAGCCAATGTCCGGGATTATCCAGTGGCCCTCTACACATTTGCGATGTATCCACAAATTTCAAGAGCTTCTGCGTTTGCACGGCCATTGGTGGCCCTGTTGGATACACCCCGGAATCCACGATTACTGGTTTTGCCTTCTCCTTCTCTACATTTCCAGTTATTGAAGTACTTATAGATGAGAAGAAGCCAGACTTTATGGAATTATGTTCTGATGCCCACTGCATCCAATTAGACTGCACAACAAAGAAATTGGATACTTTAGAGTATAAGAGCCTCATATGCAAAACACTCTTCGCGTCATGCTTCTTTACATAAAGTTGAGCACCAGTGACGATAAACGCAACATCTTCTTCTCCGGTTGCCCATCTTGGATCATATTTTACAGGGGCTGTGCATGCGTGTGAAAACTTTTTCCACTGAATAGCTTCAATGTATCGATCATCAGCTATTTCTTCTGATCCACGCCAAGTTAGAGCATCACTTAGCTTGTCTTGGAGCAGAACTGGAGAGTTCGATAAGTGCTGGAGGTGTATTGCTAACCTGTTAAGTGATTGCCTTTCAGTTAACAAATTTCACGACTCACAAATTGATCATCGAGTTGTGAATTGTGATCATCGAGTTGTGAATTGGACACTGACAGTATTAATAGTAAAATAGAAGTTAAAATATTGTCCATTGTGCTGTTGACGTAGTTTCCAGGGTTCCTGGCTACATATTATGAATTATATGCCCACTATAACAACTAAGATAATATCAACAATTTGCGTTAAAATAGTGCATTACCTGTTGGATTTCTTGCCCTCGAGATACAATCGCATTCCAGTAACCGGTCTTTTTCCAACTGAGACCTGATTAGAGTTCAATAACATTTAGTCATGACCTCATGACACATACGGTTCAAAAAATAGTTGTGCCGCTAGTAAAAAAACGAAATAACTAGGTATAGTATTGAAATTGCAATGTGCAAAGTAGATATTTCATTGTCACGTATTAGTGGTATTTCTTATTCCCAACTTGTAAATTTTTGTTGACGAGCACAAATCAAGTGTCATTACCTGAGTAGTATTTACATACAGTTTAGGACCCATCAAATTGAAATGAAGAGCAGGTGTTTGCATGGTCCTGCTTCTAGTTGGGCCAAGCGGGAGGTCGTTGTGAATTGGAGCCCAAATCCTGTGAGCTTGAAAATCCAGGAAGTAGTGTAAATCAGCTATAGGAGGCTTATCTGCACACAAAACAAACACATTCTATTCATGTTTCATTTTGCATAGTTACGGAAAAATTTGAAACAAAAAACTGAATTCTGTAATTCAAAGTAAACTTAAGGTTGACTATATTAATATTCTTCTCATTCTGTTCTTTATAGAGCTACTTCGTACTTTACAAGACACGATAGTTTCAATCTATATGTCTTGCTTCTTACGTGTTCTACAAGAATTACATTTGTTTGATTTGTTCGACTATATGTTTCAATGTTTGTAATAAAGTACAACTTACATCGAAGATAAAGATTGATGGCATGTGATAAGAACCCTTTGCCAGGAACTCCTCTAAGCAGAGAAGTGATAGGAATGAAGTTAAAGTGAATTGCATCGGGCATTGATGGTACAGTTAGAAGCCATTCACAATGTGTAGTGGTCGACGAGTCTCCACCCCGCTTTGAACATATAACACTGATACCCTGCAAGTATCATTCAACACAATTTCCGAATCAATTTTTTTTCCCTCTTTACTGCATATTTTGTATTTAAGAAAACCTACATCTTTTACGGTGATGGATGCAAAACTACTAAGAAGATTTGGCTGTGGATCGAAAACATTGAAAGCCTGTGGCACCTGGATTTCAAAATATACAAATACGTCACAGACCGAAAATTATATTAAAACCCGAAAAATAAAAAATAAAAAAAATGTAAGAAACCTTGTTTTTTTGTTCTTTGGTTTTGCATTGATGTGGAGAAAAAGTGCATGCCCCGTTGAACAACTGATCACCAAGGTTATCCAAGTGGTTCTTTAAGTGTGATGGCTCCATGTTGGAAGACTTGTCTTGCTTTACTAATACCACATCTTGACCACCTATGCTCAGCCCCACAATTATGTGGGTACCATATTTTTCAATAAATCTGTCACACACATCACAAAATAATTGAATATCATCACTCATATCTCAGATAGGTTAGTTTAATTAATTCAAGCGAATTATTGTTCCCTTTTTTTCTCAATACACGACGAAAATAGGCAATCAGCGATCATAACTAGTTTGATTTTGTTTTAAGTTAGTCATTTAGCCCATTTTTGGTATAGATTAAAAGTTAATAATTAATTTTAACCACACATTTTATAAAATCCACAACTTTTCAACCACACATTTCATCATTTTTATTAAAATCTACTAAAAATTTGATTTTCATTTACGCTGAACAAGGGCTTAATGTAAATTTAGTTATAATTTGATCGCTCGTCAATCCGTTTCTGTTAGACAGTTTAAAAAATGACGCATGAGCAAAATATTTTGCTAATTAAAGCTACCAACTAGACTATTCCATTAGCTTTTTCCTTAGCTACAGTAACAAATATCGATTGAATCATCAAGTTGTAATTTATGTTCAAGTTTAAATAAAGTTTTAAGTTCAACAACCAACTTATAACATAATGAAGTTTAGTGAACAACATTGAATTTCGTAAATACTTTTGAGGCGAATATGATTTATCGTGTTTAAAAATTACGTCTTCATTCATAATATCTTTAGAAAAAGAGGTTTAGTGTATTAATTATGGACAACCATAGTTCAAAAGTTTATTAAAAGTTTCATAAAGAAAATATAATTTGAACAAATCAAACCAGTTAAGTTTCTTGTGTTGACAAGTAAACACGTAAATGTCAAAACAGTTGGATGCTAATACAAACCAACCAACTGGGAAAATAAAAATTTAAAAATAATCAGCATATATTAAAATTAATCTAAATATCAAACTCACGACACGTCTAGCGATTTCTTCCATTGATATTGCTGACTTTTTTGGTTAAACGTTGACATTGATACTGCCCGTGACCATACGTCCAATCATGAAAAAGAAAATAGCGTGCCTAATATTATTTTTATTCAGTGACTTGGTCAATAATCTAGTAAGTTGGCTGTATCCAGTAGCTCAGGCATTTATAATTTCTAGGTTCAACCCATTTATTCAATGATGACATAAAATTCTATTTATAATTATGGCAAATTTCATCAACTTCCAGGAAATTTCAATTGGATCATTGATTTTTATTTTTATTTTCAATTTGAT